TAAAGATTATCAAAATTATTATTTCTCTGAAATTCAAATTTTTTGTAAAATTTTTTTCAGACTTTGTTGATACATAATTTTGTAAAATGTTGAAATTGCTTTTTGATTCTATTATAAAATTATATATTCTGTTATCAATTAGCAATTTTTACAATATTAACTAAAAATGTCTAATTTATGATGAATAAAGTGATTTTTGTGTATTTATGGTTGAGTATATTATTTTTGTTCTTTCTTTTGTACATTTGCATTTATGGAAATAAGTCAATAATTCTAAAATGCTTGCTAATATTATATATAGTTGTTAATTCACTAATTACTGAACATCACTAACAAATTCCTTGCTAAAAATGTTCTCAGTAATTGTTATTTAGTTGCAATTTAAGCTGCCACATGTCCTCCCCCAGTTGTAGACCCCAGTTGCAAGGTTGCCGGGCCTGGTATAATGATCACCTTGGTTCAGGCCAATCATTAGCTGCCAAGGCTCTGTGTTACTTCCTTGTGGATATAATTGACCTGTTAATAAGAAAGTCACCATCATATGTCTTAAACTCCAGCCACTTTGTGGAAATAATCAAAGATGCTCCCATCCAATGTAACCAGATGGTGAGCCTGGATGTGGTGAGTTTGTTCATCAAGATACCCACAGAGGAGGTACTATCGGTAGTCAGGGACTGACTGCCCTCTGACTCATACCTAAGAGAATGTACTAGTATACTAATAGATAACCTGATGGGGATGCTTTCTGTATATAAACAACATATTTTGGAATGGGATCAGACATATATCAACAAGATGAAGGTTTAGCAATGGGCTCATCACTATCACCAGCAATGGCTAACATATACATGGAATACTTCCAGGAAATGGTATTAGAATCAACATCACTAAAGTCAGCTCTATGGCTGAGATACATAAATGACACCATACTCTGGCCACACCAGGAAGAGGTCCAGCTACTACTGGACCATGTGAACTCAATAAGATCATCAATACAAGTTCATAATGGAGAGAGACAACAAAAACAGACTAGCATTCCTGGATGTACTAATATCTCAAACAGAGCATGGGTTCAAGATCCGTATACCTCAATCCAACATTCACCATAAAATATTTCAACTTCAACTATCACCACCTATACAGTGTAAAAAAAGGGATTGTGTTGCCTACAACATTGAACAAAAGCCCTAAGTGGTAACCCAGAGACATATAAACAAGAAATGCTCAGTATAAGCAGTACCCTACAATGTAACAACTATCCTGGGTACATAACAGCAGCTCTGGCAAACTGGGATAGGGGGGTGCAAGAGGATACTGACACTCAGAAAACAGCCTTGATCTGCTTACCCTATGTGAAGGGATCATCAGAAAAAATATAAAAGATCTGTGGTCCATATAACATCAGGATGACCTTCAAAAGTAGTTCAACACTTTGCAGATACCTCTTCCAAGTAAGACCTCCCATAAAGGAGAACGATTCAGAACTGTGTGTATGCTGTCCCATGCAGCTGTGGTACGAAGTATACAGGAGAAACAGGCCATCCCCTTAGGATAAGACAGTAGAAATATGTGATGCAGTAACATGAGGGGGAAATAGAAAAATCAGGCATGGCTTATCCTATATGGAGTGAAAAGGGAGATCACTGCCCCTTGTGGGATGAGGTTGAAATAATAGACAAAGAACATTACTGGAAAACACAAAAACTTAAGGAATCAGCACATATGCTCAGCCACAAAAATCTCCTAAGCCAGCCAAGCATAGACATGAATACAATATGTGAACCAATAATATGGAATGCTAGAGAAAAGCAATAATGACAACAAATTGTAATATGAGCTCTGATAAAAAAAAATTGTTTACTGTGACATTAGATTTATAAGTGACAAAAATTCATACAATGATATCTTCAAGGACACATGGTTCAGTGGATAAAAGAGTTGGTTGAAGTAATCCAGTGACTTGACCTAAAGAGTTGTGAGTTCAATACCTAGCTACAATAACTTCGAGAGCTGAGTTAAAGGGAAGAGGCATGGTATGTGGAACTAGAACAATCTACCCCAGTGGACAAAATAAAGGGTTTGGTTCAAATTCCAATTACCTGAAGAAGCGTACTGAACATACAATGGTCGAAAATGTTGTGAATATGGCAACAAAGATGAGGACAACGGTCCAATAATATATATGTAAATAATTACAATTCCTCATCTCAGAAATATAGACAGATATTGAAGGAGTGAATATGGCAACAAAGATGAGGACAACAGTCAGATAATATAAATGTAAATAATTACAATTCCTCATCTCAGAATTATAGACCAAAGTCAAAAGCAATTTAAACATGTACACAGACATGCATTACATATATGTTATTGAGATCAGTTTTTGTCTAAGCACTATGCATATGATAGTTGTAGAAATGAGTTTTAAGAAATATTATATGCATGCAAATCACCATAAACCCCAGCGCCAGCAACTGTGCATGTGTAAAACAAAAATACTTCTGGGCATAATAATTCTATATTAATTACATATGATAAAAAAAGCATGAAGAAAATGTTGATTGATATCTTAATGTGATAAAAATGGCAATAAAAAGTAGTAATTCAAATAAAGAATTCAAAAGCTAAGAACATTTTAAGAATTATGCAGCATGCAAATGATTAAAGAATTTTCCAACAGAATGCTAACTGCCATGTATTAATCAAAATTCTGACACCCATGTAAGCTGTAATTTGTTTTCATTTAAATGCACTGCTCAGAGTTTTCACAAAACAGGAAAACATTTTGCTATTTTATAGAATTTGGACCCAAGAAAAATATTTTAAGAAGAAAACAACTTATTTGTAAATATTTGGAATTAAAACTTTTAAATTAGTAATATTGCTTTGCAATTAGAAACTCAATTTAAATTATTGGTAATTGAGGTTTTGGTAACTGTTTTATTTCAGGTAAATTTATTAACAGACATTTCCTGTGAGAAACAAACTAATTTATTTGGTGGGCCCACATGCTGTTAGTTAATGATCTTTTCTGTTTACATTTCAACACTTTCAAAATGTATTATTATTAGAGTGATAAAAGCATACATATTAAAAAGCAATTTATAACAAAAAATAAAAAATTCATAACAAAGAAGTGGGTGTAACAAAAATATATATCACCATATAAGGGTAATATTGAAATATGACAATGATTAAAAAACAACTAAATTTGTTTATTGGTCTCCTTTTATCAGAGCAAAAATTGAGAATAAAATATAGGCACAGTGACTAAAAAATATACAACCCGAGACAAATGTTCTATTCAAAAATAATATATAATAATATATTAAAGACTAAGTACCTTTAAGCTCACCAACCATTCCTGCTTACAGAGTGACAGCTCTTGGGATTTAATGTAAACTCACTAACAAACTTTCAAATGGTAATCAGAATTACTCATCACAGACAGCATGTCTGGGCTACAAGACAGGACCCACTGCTGAACCTGATACATTAACATGCTTATGTAAATTATCCATCTTTCCCTTGTGAATATTGGTTGATTCCTGTTTCCAAATGATATGTCCCGGAAAGGGATATATTTGTTCAAAGTAGCAAAGAGGTTGTTGACTACTGTAATCTAGCAGGTAACTGTAATGGACTGGTCCTCGTCGTAGTGGTAGGCAAAGACAATAAGCATAGTCTATGTACCTCCACATCAGTCTGTATTTATGACTGACACCAGCCAATCATATTACTATGAGGGGGAACCCAGGTGTATGCATATTCATTACATCACCAAACTATGACACATTTTGGTATTAAGTTAACAGGATCTGAAATATGGACATGCAGGTAACTAACACATGAAATAGTGTTTAAAGTTGTTTTATTTTTCTCAAAAAAATGAGAACAATGCTCCATTTAATTTCTGTTGCATATTAATTCATGCATATATAACCTGTACCTAATCAGTCTTCAATAACCATTTTGCTCACTGAAGCAGGAAGCAGTTATAGACTTTGCTTGTTTAGGTTGTATTATATCTCCAATTACCAGACTAGATAAAGAAATGGTGAACAGGTGAAGTTAGCTTTTGGTAGGCTGCAAAAACATGCCTGGAGAACCAACAACCTCCAGGCAAAACATAAAAGTCTACAAAATCATTATAAAGTCAAAACCTGGGTTGTATATACTCCTGGACATGATGATAAACTACATCTGGCTGCAAGGTATTTGATCAGGAGATTGGAGGTTTTTGAGAAGCATGGAACCACCTCTTAATTGCTGTTGTTCCAAGGTCCACCCTGACCTGGGGTGGTAGAACCTATTATGATCCCAGCTATTGACAAATAGTGGACCCCTGAACAAAAACAAAATACTATAAAAGTATAAAAATACATATTTATAGCAAAATGGCCAACAATACATTTTATCTGTAGTTGAAGCATTAAATAACCCATAGAGGTTGATATGCCACTAAACAAGATCAACCAAACCAAACCTAGGTTATAGTGATTTTCTAAGCCCAGCTTAGATGTGGCACAGTAAAGTATGGGGCACACAGTGTTGGATCGAACTCACTAAGTCATAATTTATCTAGCAAGACAAGCTTTCTAACCATTACACTACGTCGAGGTGCCCAACCAAACCTAGGTTATATATTGACAACATCTATGCTTCCCTGACTGCTTCCATTAGTATTGCTTTCATATCATTCATAATGCACACTGGAGTGTCTTTATCACAAATATTAAAGTCTTCAGATCAACTAAAGTCACATGCATTAAAGTTATGCTGCAAAAGGCACATCTCAGATGAGCAGGCCATGTGAGGAAGATGGAAGACAATTTTATGCCAAAGATCTTTCTGCTTAGTTAATTGGTTTTTGGTTGATGGTGTAAAAAAAGACCAATTAACAGCTTAGAAATTTTATACAACTACAAGTGTAATTCTGATACTTTGTTAACTGAGGTTTTGGTACTTTTCTCATTTCAGATTGGTTTACAGACATATCACACTAAAACACTAGTTCTTGTATGATCACCAAAGTTAAGCAATATTGAGCCTGTTCAGTACCTAGATTGGTGACTGCTTGGAAATAATAGGTGCTGTAAATATAGATGTGCAGGTGGTGTAAAGGATAAAAGCTTAAACTTGGAAATGAGAAAGTCAAGTTCCAATTCCAGTTTGCTTCTTTATGTTCACCTACACATTATATTACCTTTGGGAAACATATGGATCCAGGCTATGGGTTAATTAGTAGGAGTTGTATCAGTATATCATTATTATCTTTTAAAAATTCTTATAATCTAAAATATTTTCTGTCTTTAAATAACCTGCAAAATGACTGATAAGCCATCAAAAACAAATCAAACATTTCAGATAAAATTATGAACTGAAATTTAAAATTCCAGTGAGTAACAAACTAATATTGCTTGTAATTTCAATTTTTAACTTATTTTGCTTCGTTTTAAAATTTGTAACAGTTTCTGAAAGACAAATGTCAACTGTCATGTCAAAGATGAAATACTGACCTATATTTGATCCAAACCTGAAGTTTTCTGCTATGTTTTAAGATTTTATCAACTGCTAAAGATGTGAATGAATTAAAAATATGGAAATTCTACAGACAGTAATTCCAAGAATCAAATGAGCATTAGAAAAACAAAGAATGATAAAAACACTGAGTATAACTGAGTATTCAGGAAATGATGGATCAAAATAATTAATCCATCAAAGTTTTTGAACAGTGGATGCAAGAGAATTAGTCTTGTACTTTATCTAGGAATTTTTATAACTAATTCTTTGTTTATTTACACTATTTATATTCAGACTATTTTCCTCATCTTTGTTGTTGTCATTGTCATAATGTTTTTGGCTGTTGTACCCTTCGATCTTCTTCACGTGTATAATGATCTGGGTAATCCACATGGAACTCTGAACTGAACACTATATTTAATCTATGGTGCTAGACTGTTTTCATTCCCCTGACCATGTCTTGGGATACTGTCTACTTCTTATATATTTAGTGAGTTTAATCACTAGGCCAAGATGTGTGTACTTGAACTCAGGGGAAATGGGTGGACAATAACTGAGCAGTAATAAAAATACTGAAATATTCTGATAACAACAACAAAGATGAGAACAATAGTCCGAATATAAATAGTGTAAATCATAGCTTCTTTGCTACAAGATATTTAGTAACATTTCAGTGATTAAAATATACTTTAAAATTATAAATATTTAAAATATGCTGAATGCAATGACTAATTAAATTGTCATTAGTTATAGTTAGCACTTGGTTGCATCCAAGTATTGAGATTGTCATCTACTGTTGTAGAGTAGTTTTCACAGTGGAGGCTTGTATTTCGCTAAGTCGGTCCTAAAAGGGTCTGACGTACAAAGCGTTAGGAACTTGAAATAAGAGTTAATGACACAGCAATCTAGTTGTGAGGGTTGATACTTCAATGTCCGACATCGACTGACTCACTCAACTCCACTGAGCTCAACTGGCGACCGCTACTACTACTACTACTTATTATGTGTGGGAGAGTCTATTACAATAGAATAGGTAATGTTCTGGTATAACATCTTCTCTCTTTATTCTCTTTCTCCCCACTGGTGATGATGGCAAAGATAGCTGTGAAGGCCCAGCCTATTTCTGAAGAGTCATGAGCAGGAGTCACAGAGGAGTGTGGGTGGTGGACATGGTTGGGCAATTCAGACCCTTTTGACAGCAATTCATTCATCCTCTTCATGTTGATGGTTAGACTTTAGAGTCTCAGTCTCCTATCAAATAGTCAAATAACAGGAAGGCCAATTTGCAGCAACGATTTCCCAGGTCTCAGGGTTGATTTTAGCTTGTGTCAGAGATGTCTTCAACTGATCCTTGAAGCATTGTTTTGGAGCCTCCATGTAGCCTATTGCCACTGGCGAGTTCTCCAAACAGGATGATACATGGGAGTCAAGTGGGACATATTCCGGAGACATGATCATTATGTACAAAAGAACAGTCATCTGTGTAACAGTGATTAGTTAACAATTTCTTTATTGGACTAATAAAATCATTTAGAATGAGGAACTGACAATAAACAGACAGAAGATAAAGATTTTGTGGTGATGTTTTAATATAATCAAAGGATGTATTGTTCACTGGATTTCAACTGAAATGTACAAACATATTGAAAAATCATTTGTAAGCTCAATAAAAAGAAAAGAGAATATTTTAAGTCTTACTTGTTCAACAGGCGTCCACTTTTCATAATCGTCAGGTGTACAATGCCTTGTGAGGATGGAAGAAAAATTAGCTTTGATCAGGATCCAGCCTTTTGAGGGAAACTTGTGTGCGTAAATACTATAAAGAAGAAATTGGAAAATGGAGTTATAAAATTTGCTAGGGTAAAATATGCAAATAAAAAATACCAATGATAATAATAATAATAACTATTTCCCATATGCAAATAAAAAATAATACCTATTTCCCCGTATACAAATAAAAAATACCAATAAAAATAA